TCTCTCGGGAAGGTGGCGTGCGTCCCCGCGAGCACCAGCCCAGGTGTCGTTGGAGGTCACCGTTGTCTGCTGCCCACGGCGACACCCAGCGTGGGAGCAGGGTGCTGCACCATCGGCGAGAAGGAGGAGTTAGAAAAATAGCTCCCTTGGTGACAAGCTTGCAGCCTGCCCTGAGATGGGCAATGCGACGGATCCGAAAACATCGGAGCACATCAAACGTATTAAAGCTCGGTTTCCCAGCTGGCGGATGTTGATCAAGTTCGCTGTTGGTGACCCTGGCTGCTGCGAGCCGACGTCGATCGAGCAGTCAGCAGCGAGCCTCGTCAACCATTGGGGGCCTGTGCATGACCAGACTGGTGGGCGTAGTGTTCTGTGCCCCCCAAGTATTGAAAGAACTCCAGCGGCATCTACCCCGTATTGCTCTTGGGATTGATTTCGAGCCTGATTCAGGACGTTCACGGGTGCTGCGGCCGCCAAGCACGACTCTACCCCTAGTCCCGACGGAGCGCCCTGCAACGCATGGAAGTATTCCAGTAAGCGTGTCCATCCAATTTTGTTTCGTGGCCGTGGGTGTGAGGCCCCCCTAGGGTTCATGACACCCTGCAGTCTTTCACTATGGCAATGCTGTTGTACGAATTGAAAAGATGTCAGCGACGACGGGGGGGCCATCCTTGAGCCTTGAGCCCAAGCAGATTAGGGCACTAACACTGAGCAGCACCGACTATAAGATCTTTGCGCCGTGCCTGGGCGTGGCGTTTATGCAACAAGCCCAATTTGGGACCCTGATGTATGCTCGAGGGTACATCCGTGGGCAGAAGATCCTGGACAACATCGTCGGCCTGGAGTCCTGGATCCTGGGCTGGTGTGTTTGGCGAGGGCACCCTAATGCAGGAACCCTGTTTCTGCACATAGCTGCTGGTTTCTTTTCTTTCCATCACGAGTGGATATTGCACGATGCCAGCGGGGATGGGGCTTCACGATCACATTTCGCAGGTTGTGAGGTTTCTGGATTCGGATGTCGAAGTTGGCCGTATGTTTTGTGGAACGAAGTTTCCTGGGTGGCCCATTCGGGGCGGTGTGAAGCAAGGCTGCCCTTTGGCAGGTTTTTTTTTCTCCTGTCGATCGCCCCTGGCTTGTGTGCCTTCGGTCAGCGGATCTCGCCTCATCCGGTTCGTCTCGTCTCTTTGGCCGACGGCGTGGGGTGCGCTTTCCGTGACGTGTACTCATCATTGCGTGTCATCGGCACATGGATGGTACAGAGTGCTGCTGCTGTCTGAATCTTTGAATCTCGACAAGTGTGTAGTTGTTGTGCCTGGGGTTCGGGACCCTTCGGAAGCCGTGCGGACCCTGGGGTTCGGGGCATGGGACAGAACGTTCGGAAATTCAAGTTCTTCCTTTTGTGGCAAATATTATGGCGTATCTTGGGGCCCCGGAGGATGTGATGGGACCTGGAGCGCTGCGTATGCGAAGCTGCTCGATCGGATGTCCTATATTTGGTCGTTGCACCTGTCGGTCATCCACAACATTCGTGTCTATGATGTATTTTGGTCTGCCCGTGCTCTCTCACGTCTGGTAAGTGTACCCTGTCGCCAAGCACGTGATGGCCACCGAGCGCATTGCGTTTCAGCAACTGACCTGCGCGCCGCGCCATGCAATCCCTGGTGCCGTTCCTCGTGGGATCGGGAAACTCGGGGTGGTAGTGGAGCCCAGTGACCTTGTTCGGTCTGCTCTGGCTGCGATGTTTCGGGCCGCCGCAGGATCTAGGGAGCTCGGGGATGCCATGGCCAGGTTCTATGCCATTCTCAATGGAGTCTCGGACACTGACGTCCTTGTTTATACTTCGGGTACCTGAATGGCGGAATCAGTCGGTCACGCATGGCATGATGCAGTGCTGGAGGAAGCTCATCTCGATTGCTCTTGCGCTGGGCGACCCTGATGTCTGTGGGCTCTGCAGAAAGACGTACGCGCTCCTTCGCATACGTGCCCGGTCTTCTGAAGCGCGTGGGGTGCTTTTGACGTGACCCCCCCCCCCTGTCGGTGATCGCGTCTTGCTAACTGTTGATCGCAGATTGTATGCGTGTGCCGCATATGGGAAGCGCGTACCCCCGTGCTGTTTGCAATGCCTGCTGGCCCACCACCCGCAGGTTCCAACAGGGGACATATATTTGCAGGTTCGGGCGCTGCGTTGTCGGGGAGGGGGGGGGGGGAGGGGGGGAGGCGGCCGTCCATTTCTTCACTTGCCCGTCCCAGCTCCCTCTGCTGTCCTCGCTCGTTCCCGATGTGCCCTCGTCTCTTCTCGCGCTATTTCCCCTTCCGTCGACTGCTGGTGCATGAAATCCCCGCAACAGTTCCCGAGTGCAGGCTGCCCATGGCAATGGCTCAGGATTTCAGTGCCTCGAGTTATAACTCCTGGCGCGCTGGCGGGAAGCACGGGCCCAGCCCCCCCCCCCCCCCCCCCCCTCAAGGCCCGCAGTTCGGTGATCGCCCGCAGGCACGTTAGGAGACGTGGCTTTCTCACCAGAGGCGCCCAGGTGGGTCGAAGACCCACGGCAAGATGAGCGCTCATCCTTCCCAGCCTTGCATCGAGGTTTCATGCGCACATTGCCCCTCTGCCCACCTCAGCAGCAGCATCCGCGTCGTCACCGGCAGCATCTGGTCATCAACATCAGCATCGCGCAGCGACTTGTCTGCATGTGTGGGCTACCCGTGGCCGCGGCATTTTTGCTCGAGTTCTTGAGGGTACGCGGGCCCAGCTTGAACGCTTCGCCCACGACATCAGCAGTGCTGTCACTACTGCCATCATAGCGCGTGGGAGTTCGACACCGTGCCCAGATTGCGTTTGCACGCCCGCGCTCCACTGCCCTGCCCTGGAGTGCCACTGCCCCAGCGGCGGGGGCCAGGTCACGCCGATCTCGCCCGCGGGCTGGCCGACGGAGCTCCTGCTCGCGCTGGTGCTCTTCGCCTTTTTCCTAGGGTGCCCTCGTGGGCGGGCTTTATTTCAACCAGACGCCGACCGCGGCCTCCAAGGTGCCCGCGGTGCGCGGCACGCCGAGCCCGTCCGCCTCGGAGGAGCCCATCACCACCCTCGACCCTGCGTCGGCAGCGGCCGCCCAGGCGCGTAGCTTCCGCCGCTGAGACTCATCGTGGCGATTCTATTCCCTTGTCAGTCCCGTGTGCGAGGCAACATAGGGGGCCCTGGCATCTACCGGGACAGATTGACCCCCCTGCCGGGCTACGCACTGGCGCCAGATGGCGACGACTACCCCGACAGCGGCGTCGCAGGCGGAGGCCTCCGTGCGGCGCGCCCCCCCGTGGGCCAAGGCGAAGGACTTCCTAGGGGTTCCCTCTATCAGTTTCGGCAACTCCCTCGCGCTGCGGAAGTTTGGGCAGCTCTTCGGAGGGGGGCCGCCCAGGGGCATGGGCCCCTTCCCGTCTCGCCCTTCAACCTGGGGCTCAGCGCGACCGACGTCCTGGGCGCGGCGACAGGGGCCCTGGCCTTGCCCGACCCGCTGGCGCCAGCTCCGCCGCGCGCCGCGTTGCCCGCGCTGGCCGCGCCGCCCGCCGCTGCCGCGCCGCCAGCCGGCGGCGGCAATGGCGCGCCGGTCGCCGCGCTCGTGGGCGGAGCTCCTGGGCCCGCGGCGGGCGCGGCTGCCCCCGCAGGCGCGGGCGGGGCCCTGGGCCCCCCCCCGCGGCGTCGGCAGCGGCTGGCGACCCCCGCGCGATGGCCCTTGTCCTCGACGGGCGGGGCCTGCGCGACCTGAGCTTCGGCGAAGCGCTCAAGCTCCAGACCGAGACGGGCCGCGCTGACTTGCCCGCGAAGGGGCCAAGGATTTTGCTTTGGGTGTTCGGGCTCATGCAGCGGGTGGCTGGCGGATCAATGACGCGGCACACCCGATGGTTGGCGATGGTGCAGCTCGGCGAGCACGACGAGAGCGCCAGGCTCCACGAGACGATGTGCCGCGTGATCGAGACCGCGCTGTACCGCGACCGGATCGTGATCTGCGAGCTCGCCCCCTTCCCTTCGAGCACCTGGCTCGCCAGCTCCAACTGGTCGAGGGGCGGGTCTCCGAGGGGCGCGCGCGCGGAAGATGCAGCCAGCGCCCAGGGCGCAGGCCCAGGCCAGGGGGGCCAACCCAACCGACTTCGCCTCGGAAGTCGGGCACTTCCTCGGCGC